ACCAAAATAATAAATAGCATGTTCAAAATACAAGACCATACCACTTCCGTGCAACCAAACACAGCAATTGAAAAGAATGGTAAGAACCAAAAACCTGGGACCGTACAAAAGGTTTACTATTAAAAAAAGTAGCCCAAAACTAAATTTATCACAGCACGTTGGCAATATTTGCAGAAATAACTCCTTTTTATTGACAAAAAAAAAAGTTTTTTTTTTTTTTTCCCAAAGGCTACTTTCGCCAACATTATCAACATTAGGGTTACCGAAAAACTTATTTGACGCAATGGGCTTCCACATTTCACAAACAACAACCAATACCACTTTGCGATTTTTTTTCAGACAGAAACCAAGGTGTACCATACAGTAAAGATTAGCCACATCTTCATTTACTACTGTTACAAGTACTTCTTTGGTAAATTTCTGCGGTTAAATTCAAAAGTTTAAAATTGCATTAACATGATCAGAGTCATAGCTAGGGTTTTCAGCGCTCAGGGACAACTGAAGATTTCGCCCCCTACTGCTTGCCAAGGATGGAAAACATTTAATTCTAAAATGTTCTAACATCAGTTTGGCGCCCCTTGGATTCTGCACCCGGGGGACAGATGCCCCCTTGCCCCCTCTAGCTACGCCCCTGATCAGATTTTATTTTCTGCACGTAGCTAACAATTACTTATGTGTTGTCAGATAAATGTTACCAGATGCAGTTAATTATTTTTTACTTGCCAATCTCATGAGACAAGTTTTTTTTTGCTCCTGCAAGACTTTACTTTGTGTTGCAAAATAAATTCATTCTCACTCTTTTTGGACTTGCCTACACATTAAATTTAAAATAGTTTTATGAATAGGTAAGATGTGATTATCATAATTTTGTTTCTCTCTTTATCTTGGCAACTTTATATGTTGATTCAGTATCCAGGTTACCTACCAGTGGCTGATTGATAAAACTGCTCATATGTTCAGCTGGTGGTTTGAGTTTATTTTCTGACATAAAAAATTTTAAAAGGCATCCCCCATGTTTATTTTACTATAATCGAAAAATCAAATAATTGCTACTCTGTTTATAGGTACTAAATGTTAAAATATTTTAAATGCTTCCTTTAATTTGCATTCTAATAGTCATTTGTTTAAATTTAATTATGAATTATATTCACATATAGTAATTGTGAGTGTTTTTTTATTTTAGGTGCTGTGAAAGGCAATGACAGAGATCCAATTTATCAAGAGTTCTATATATACATAAGAATACATGGATATAAGATTGTTTTTCATGAATTCAAATAAAATGTGATAAATTGGATTAATAAAAACTATTTTGAATTTTGAAAAGTGTTTTTCCTCTGTTAATCATAATATAGTGCCATAAATTTCTGAATGTGTTTATTTTTCATCCAAATAAATAGCTTTACAAAAATTTGTCATATTAATAGATATTGCATAATTTAGCATTATTATAAATATTTATTATAGCAGATTTAGCTGAACTACTTTTTTAGTCTCTTTGCAGATGAAGTCACAAAGGTAAGTGGTTAGATATTTTTCTGTATTCCCCATTAAGTAATTTTATCTGGTAAATTACCATTACTTATATACTAAAGGTGAAAGAATAAGCTTTCCTTGAAGATACAAAAATTTGCAGATATTTCAAAAAATTGGTATACGTAAAAAAAGTTCTTAAATTGCCACATATGCGAAACTGAAAATGTTATATATGAAATAGTTCAGAAATATAAATATTTTCACTATTTTTTAACTATAATTCACTGCATTTGTTATATATAATCACAGTTTAAGGTAGCAGTGCTTTTCTCACTGTGATTTCTCATGTATTTTGATTCATAAATACACGTACATAAATCCACGTATTTTGATTTCTCTTTTGAGACCGAATAAAAAATGAACTAAACATTCTCGTTGACATTGAGAGTTGAATAAAAGCTCACCTCAAAATAAAATGAATTAATAAATTTATGGAAAATTTTACATTGCATATATTGAGCAGAAAGAGTAAACTGAATATACTTAATGGAATTAATAATTGGTAGAGTTGATAGCAGAATAAAATGCCTTAATTGCATGGTAAACAGTAGATCTTTTGAAGTTTTTCTATGTTGCGTAAAATGCAGATTTAAATTTTTGATATTGATTGTCATATAAATGGCAATTACTGTTTTATTTTGCTCTGAAATGAATGGTTAGTAATAAAATTCTGGATGAGACAACCTTTAACATGCGCTAGAATTTACAAAGTTTAATTTGGTGCTGATTTCAACGGGTAAATTTCATTTTACTGAATTTTGCGTAAAATAATACCAATGAACCATTGCAAATTATTTTCAGAACTTTTTTTTTTAATCTAAAAGGGCTATTAGTTTTGAAATGTGACTTCATATCGTCAGTCGTAAACTTGTTTCGCTTTTCATTCAAGTCTTGCCATTTGGCAAAATTTAACATATTTACCTTTAAAATCTAATATATTATTGACTAACAAGCCAAGCTATTTAAAAGCATTACACACAGTTCTTAACAATGCTTTTTTTAATTTTTAATCTGATTGATTTAAAATGCATTTAATTCATGATATATCTAATTGAAAACATTTTAATATTTCTACATAATTACATGATATATTTCTTCATTTTTCAAATATATAGAAGATATATAACTTTCTGGTGTCAGTATCTTATAAAATGTTTTGCTATTTCCACTGCCCCATCTGTATTGATAATCTATGCATTCATAAAACTTTTAGCCTCTTTGAGTGACTGCTAAAATCTGAGGCCTTTCAGATTTTTTTTTTTTTTTTTTTAATTTTGTGAGCAGAAGAGAATTTTAGAAGAGCTTCTTGAGTTACCTTTTGAATGATATAAAGAATTGTTAACATAATGTCAAATTTTTACAACTAAATATTAAATATATAAAAAAGCCTGCAGCATTCTCATGTTACGAAAACATATTTATTTATTCTGAGGCTAGGAATTGATTTAGTTTTAAAAATACAATTTATTCCTTTTAACAATTTCCCAACAGTGTCATCAAAACACTATAAATTCCTTACATGTTTTAAAGAAAGATGATTCATTTATGTAAAGATTATTAAATGGGTAATTTTATTATTCAATTTTTAATACAAATTAACTGAAATTAGAAACTGATTTTGTAAAATAATTTAATTATGAATAATTCAATTTGGGGGCTATTGGATGTTTAAAAAATGATCAAAAGATTTTTAATATCTTAAAAATAAAAGCAAAATTTTCAGTTTTAATATTTTGTATTAATAATTCATTTTAATTTCCTTGCTCAGTTTTAATATATTCACAAATTCAGATTTAAAAACAAAAGTTGTATAAATATTTTCAACATTTCTGATTTTTCCATAGTAACCATAGGAGAACGATTTGAGACTATCTGTGTAAAAAAAAGTAGGTTTTAGATCATCACACCTTCACATACTTTCACTGGAATTTTCCTCTGTATATATACTGGGATGTGACACTAAGCAGTTGAGAGTATGTATTTAAGAGGTTAAAGGGATATTGTAACTAGTGTTTCAAATCCTGATAACATCCCATACGCTGTCGGTGGGACGTAGATAGGATGTCCTAAGGATATACTGGGATGTAACATTAAGCGCTCAGGAGGATATGTTTAGGAGGAAATTGGGATATTACGGGATGTCCTGAGGATGTAGTAAGTAGGACTTTAAATCCTAATAACATCCCATATGCTGTCGATGGGACATAGATAGGATGTTTTTAGGATATAATGGGATGTGCTTAGGAGGTTTGTGGGATATCCCAAGATGTTCTGAGGATGTAGTAAGTAGGAGTTCATATCCTAATAACATCCCGCACGCTGTCGATGGGACTTGGTTAGGATGTCCTGAAGATATCCCGGGATGTGACATTAAGCACTCGGGAGGAGGTGTTTAGGAGGTTCGCGGGATATTCCGGGATGTCCTGAGGATGTGCGCATATCCCGCGAGCAACATCCTTGGGATATCCCAAGGATGTTTCCAAGGATGTTTTTGTGCTATGTGGGGAAAATTGCGTATAATTCAATATTCCATACAAGAAAGTCATGTGGTGTACACATCAGAGTTTTTTTAATTGATTAAGGCTAAAAATGGACGTAACCATTTTTCTACAATCTAAAGTTAAATGTCAAACTTCTGAATGAAAGTCACAAAGATCATTGAAAGGTTTAGTGTTCATCTTCAGAAATTGGATACTAAAAGCAGTGTTTAAAAGTTTCACTATAAAAGACATACTGTCATCAGAAGTATTTATTTGATTAATCTGAAGCCTTACTGAACAGGATTCACCTTATCTGGACTAAATACTATAAGAGCATCTCGCTTTATCAACCATTAGAATATTTGACTAATAAATCAATTGACCTATTCAATTATTGATTATTTTTGTTTTATCAGCATGTATGATCTAATTTCGAATTATAGTTAATATTGAAAGGGCAATTTTTTAACAATAAAAAATGTGACATCATTTTCAGACATATTTCAAAATTGCTCACAGAAATAATTTTAGACATTGCTAGACTATGCATTCACTATATTAATACCACTATGCCAATAGAATGTACTTCAATTTAAATATAGGTAAATTCTATTGTTTTTGTTCTTATTTTAAGACATTTGTCTTATTAAATGGGAAAGAAATACAACAATATCAAATTAAAAGCTAGACAAAAAAGCAAGACATTTTTGCTTCTGAAGAGTAGGGACCTGAATCTAATGCTTTCACAATCAATAACGTTTATTCAAAATCTATGTCAAACTAAGATTGCTTTTTTTCTTTAATTTCAAATCTGTCCTATTACATAATTGTCAGACTGCATATTATAATAGGCAAAATTTTTCAAGAAAATGGTTAAATAAACTACTTTTGGATAAATTTACATTAAACAATAAATAAATGTAAAACCTAGATAGCTAAGGCAAAAAAAAATTATTTTATATTTTATATATATATATATTTTACCTTTTGCAACAGTTTTCTCATTAACTGCTTCTTTGTCAGCAATCTAAAAAAAAATTATTCTGTGTTATAAAAATAGGAATGCTCATTAAATTTTGAACAAATTATTAACTAATAAACAAATAGAGTATAATTTTAACTTTGGTTAAAATCTGCATAAGCTATATTTTTACACATGAGATAGAAATCAAATATGAGAAAAATTTTTAAAAAATTCAGATTTTTATAACCCAGCTTTTTTGAAAATAATATTAATAATAATATTTTGACAAATTTAAGCATCTTTCCAGGTGCTATATAAGCTAAAAGTAAATACACAGCTAATTCCTATAACTGACTAAATTGGAAAGTTATTCATTGGAAAGAATCTTAAAAGAACAGTTCCCAGTTATAAAATAAAAACCATCTTTTGATTTTTAGAACACGCTAGATAACTGGAACAGTTGGAATACCAAGAAAACAACATTTGGCATAATGTGATTTTGGTGTTACCATGGCTAGATCTGTTTCCCCATAATTGAGGGGAGGGAAATCACATTTAATGTTTTTATACATATAATAATACTGCAAAGCAATACAACTTTATGCTGCTCTCAGCAAACAATTCTAATTATTGATAATAAAATCAAAAGTCGTTAATTCGGACACCTATAATCCGGACCTCAAAGCTACAAACTTTCTGCGCATGCGTCAAGTAGGTGTTCACGCATGCGCGTAAGACCTTTATGGCTGCGCATATGCATGTGCGCGTTTAATGTATAACGGACGGTATATGCTAAAATTATCTAATTATCTATTTCAGTTAATGTTGCAAATTGCGCTGTTCTTTAATCTTCGAATTGGATCGAATTGGAATTATATAAAAGTAAGCTTGAACTTTCGATTATGTCAAATAGAATTTCCGATACATATTTACTAATATGTAAAGGATCTACAAAGCGAAAGTATGTTTTGATGACCATCAAACAAAAAATGGAATTGCTGCAAAAAAATGGATAAAGGCATATCCTTTGTTTCTCTAACTATTCTGAAATCTGTTTATCAATTTCACGCTGCTCTGCGGCGCAGGGGGGGTGCAGCGGTGCGCAATGAATTGGAAGTTGATCTGTCAGCACTATCCTTATCTTCAGGGCAGATTTTTTTATTTTATTTGGCTTACAATTCCTTACTAAAAGTAGTATTTCATCTCGATGTACTCCGTCTTTGATATGATTTAAATCAAATTCCTTGTCATTATAATCCGCTTCCGATAGCTAAGAAAGCGACACAGAGGTTATAGAAAACGAAAAAATTTTGATTGACAAATTAGTCAGTATTTTTGACACAGCAATTATAGGACTTGAACAGCGGAGCTTTGTAACTGAAGAAATTATGTCTGTTTATAGAATTAAAGAGAAAGTATTATCACATAAAACAAAGCAACTTAAACAACTTACATTGAAAGAAATGTTTAATAAAGTAAACAAATAAATATTAAGCTTTTTTTTTTTTTTTTAAATTTTGATACCCTTTAGATCATAATTGTTCTTTTTTCGTAAATTACGGTTTCTTATTCTTAATTTTATTATTTCCGAATGCCATATTACTTTACTTTTTATTACATTTCTATTATGCCTTTTTAAAACCCAAGTGTAGTCAGTCAATATTTTGGTGCTCAGTTTTCCTAAATGGCATACATCTATCCCGATAAAAAAAAGTTTTACATGCTTCTATAGTTTGACTGCTTCAGCCGTGATCATAAGCGCAAACACTTATGTGCCATTCAGATCAATTTATTCGTCAAATAAGGAGGATGGATATGCATCAATGTAATAGGAATTTTTCCTTGTTAATTTTCAGTGTTCAAAGAGCACATACTTAAGGAGGCAGAAAATTATTATTAAGTAATCTAAGCTGATATATTAATCATGATTTGTAATTAACTATTTGATTACATTGTGTTTAATTATATGTATTAATTTATTAGCCCAAAGGGGCTAAGTCCCTGAAGGACTAATGTTTTCGCTTTGCCCTGGTTCACTATAAATGTCCGTTTCACTTTTCAAACTGTTGCCACCAAATGTTAGAGTCCTGCATTATATTTGAAGAAATGAAATAATGAAAAATCTGCATAAATGTATGTATATTTCTCGCATTGCGATAAAACAACGGTACATAGAGCCATCGAATTTCAATGACGTAATCCTACTGTGAATATGGGCATGTGGAAGCCCAAATTTGAAATTTGTTTTATTTTCGACTTCATATTCTGTATAACTTTAATGAATTTTTGATTAATGAACTCAATGATTTCAAAGTGAGCAATGGCAATGTTGTACAAAAAAAAAAAAAAAAAAAAAAAAAAAAAAAAAAAAAAAAAAAAAAAAATTCCAGTGTGCGAGACTTGTATCAGAAATTCTAAAGATTTCAATTTAAAACTATTTTGTGATATTGCTCTTGAACTGAGTTTTATGGTTTAAGTGCGAAGAATGTGATATTTAATAAATAAAGGTAACAGACAAAATGTTAAAGAAAATGCTCCTTTGGACGTAATTTAAAATCTGAAAACTTTCAGATTTTAAATTACATAGATTAAATTTTTTTTTTTTTATTTATTTATTTATACTGGTAAAAACATGAATGTTTTCAACAAAGTGTAATAAATAATTATTATATAACTTTCATTATAAATGTATAACTGTTACATTTTATTGAATGATTTTCATCATCATTAAATTTTAAATTATTAATTATTATTTTCATTATTCATTATCAGAATTTTTTATAATATAGTCATTATTATAATTGATTATAATAATTTTATGATAGTAAATCATAATTATAATTGATTATAATAATTTTATGATAGTAAATAATAATTATAATATATTATTATTTTTATATTTGAGCTAAAATGCATGTGCATTTAATAAATTAACTATAATTACCATATTTGACGGCATATAAGATGCACCCTTATTTAGAAGGCCACACACATGTAAATGTAGAAAAAGTTATGTGTGTCTAGACCTTTATCCGGGATAAAAATAGCATTCAGTATTGAAAGTTAACCTGTGTCCTTCACGTATAAAGATGCAGGTAACTTTTTTGAAACCAAATTTAGGGAAAAAAGTGAGTCTTATATGCCGTCAAATACGGTATATCAAAATAAATAATCATCACATTTCACTTTGATTTCTGTGCTAAAGACTTTATGTATTTATTATACATATTGGCTGCGGAAACACGAAATTTATTTTAGAAAAAAAAAGAAAGGAAAAAATTCTTGTATAAAAGATCGCAATACTGACAAATGTAACATTAAATCAACTATGCTCTGGGCAAATTCTGTTTAAATATGGCAGAAACATGTCAACCTTTTCAACATTACTAAAAGAATACACTCACTAAAGCTATAATTCCATGAATTTTAGTGATCTTACTTTTAAAAGTAAGCTTTGAAATATGTTCTGTTTATATAAAGTTCACAAATTATGCAAAAAATACTTGGTTTAACTCTAGACTGTCCGCAAATTTATGATATTACTGTCAACTATGTAAAGTTAAAGATTTTGATACATTATGTCAACAAATGATTTCAACTTTAGACAGAGAAACTAAAACTTACACCAATGTCAAAACATGAGAAAGTTAAGTTTTCAATTACATTCGTTACCACAGGCAGGTCGTTAATTGAAACCACTTCTAATCCTATGTATATATACATATATATACGCTATATATATATATAGAACTGCTGTAACAGGCAGTTGTGCAGCTCCCTTTCTGGTTGAGATCGGCCCACCAAAAGTATCACTCTGTTGCTCGGCTCCATAAGCTGTTTTTTTATTCTTATATGTTTGTAAATTGTGCATTTTTTTGCTTTGAAAATGATTGAATTATATTTTTCTTATCTTCCAGTTAAGGTTTTTTATGCCTTTTGTTAATATGCATGCAATAGTTGTAAAATTATCAACAATTTAAAAGTTGTTTAAGTGCGGCTAAGCCTAATTTTTTACCATAGGAGCCACATTTGTTTACATTTGAAACTTAACTGAACACATTGAATTAAGCCAGTTTCTGAACCTTCAGTGTCTTTTTGCTGAGTGGAACCAAAAGTAAACTTTCAGTTTTGTTCAACGAAACATCTGCCTTCTTGTCTGCTGGCCGAACTGCTTGCTTTCACATAGGAATTCTTACTTTTATTGCTAAAACCTTTTTCTTTTCCTTTCTTAAATAATTTTTTTAACTCTGGAGTTTTATATTTTTCAATTTTTAATAAAGATATTGTGAGTTCTGTATTTTTGCCTTGCCATGAAGTAAGAACTGAATTAATTTGATGAGAAATCTCTAATGAAATTCGAGAAAATAAGTTTAAATGAAATGCAGGAAAAAATGAACCCAAGAAATCCCATTTAACACTACCACCATATTCAATAATTTGTTGTCCAAAACAATGTTTGAGAAAGCTTCACACTCCAGCTGTGTGGTGTGCAGAGGCATCATCATGTTAAAACCACAAGGACCGTTATGCAGACTGGGGAATATCATTCAGAAAGTCAAGTATGATATTCTGTAATAGTTGGAGGTACATTGCGAAAAAACAAATTGGGACAGTTCTATATCTCCCGTTCTACTGAGCCGATTGATTAAATTCAACTTGTGTTTTTTATGTCTTGAAAGCGCGACTTAGGATATGTATTAGATTTATATATAGCATTGTTCTAATATAGACATTTTGACACAAAATGGGACTTTTTTTCTGAAATGACATGCCAATTTTTTTCCATATTTCAATTCTATGACTCAAATTACGCTGAACTGCCAAGTTTTGTAAAAATCTCAGGAGTAGTTTTAAAAAATGAGCCCTCAAAATTTTAGTTTCTCAATGTTAATTGAGTTTAAAATATATTCATAAATACCTCTTTTTTAATTAAATTTATTTGATTCTTCCTTTCATATTTCGAAATTTAGGTTCATTCCAAATAACTTTCACCCATTTTTATGGCATATTTTAAAATTGTATTTTTTTTAAAATAATTTTTATAAATTTTTGGGGGAAAAAAT